GGGGGAGAGGTCCCATTCGCGTGGCCCCGCATTGGTCCCTGAGCGACTATCCGGAACGAAAGCATTTTGCAGTTTTGCTCATGCCGTCGATGACCCACTTTAGTCCGCTCATTATATTTTCTCTGTTGCACACAGTGCAGTTTAGTGAATGACGATGTGTGTCTGCACATTTGTGGCCGGTGAAACATAACCCCCCAGCCGGAGGCTAGCCGGGATGCCCAATCAGCCCATGGCATTTTTGGTGTGGCCCAGCAAACGCAAGGATGATAGAGCAGCTTTCTGGTTATCCTTGTTGTGAAACGTAGCCTGGGCCGGCGAAAAACCGGCACATCGCTCCGTCCCGGCATTGTAGCGATGCGAGACAAATGGTCTAACGACTACGGCATGCGTTTCGATTGCATAAGCTTCGATGACGTAAATGCGCCAACCTGTGGACTTGGAAGCAGAAATCCCAGTACACCGCACCATCTTTGGCAAAGCAAGAACTAACGATTGGCCATCGATGATCGGTCCTGTGAGAGCAATGCTCCGTCCTCTCGAGGGACTCGTGGTCAGTGGTCTAACATCTAAAGCATGCCGAATCATGAGCACACACACACCCATGTGGACGCGGGCCTCGTTTTCTGTTCGCAGGTATGTGTCGTCCCATCATAAGAAACAAGTCTTGGAGCTCATGGCGAGAATGTTCAACTTTACTGAGGAGGAAAAAGAGCAGGTAAGCTCGCAGCTCTGATTTTTTTTTTCTTGTCCAAATGCCGCGGACGAATTCCGTGGTCGTAGGCTAACTAACGTACGAAATGGAATTGGCCTGGAGACGAAAAGCCGTCTCAGTTCTGATGACAAGAAACTTGTTTTCTCATGCCGTGTTTTCTGCACTCTGGACTTCCGTAACCGGGCCTTCTCCCTCTGTTTTGTTTGGTTTTGGCCTCAAGTTACGCCTGTTTGCCCCTGGTAGAGTGTAGCTCTGCTGCTTGCACCTGTGCGGAAGGAGTCCAGTCCCATGGAACGCTGCTCTTCAAGTGCTCACCGTGGTATACTGGACACAAGCACCTCCAGTCCCATGGAGCGCTGCTCATCAAGAGCTCACCCTGGTATACTGGACACAAGCACCTTCAGTCCCATGGAGCGCTGCTCATCAAGAGCTCACCCTGGTATACTGGACACAAGCATCTCCAGTCCCATGGGACGCTGCTCATCAAGAGCTCACCGTGGTATACTGGACACAAGCACCTCCAGTCCCACGGCACGCTGCTATTCCAGAGCTCACCGTGGTATACTGGACACAAGCGCCTCGCCGTGTAGCCTACACTGAAACCGACATGGCAGCCATTCGTTATCGAAACTCTAGAAAAATTACCCGGCCTCCGCCAACAGCTGTGCTACTGTAGTGGTTCACAAGCGCGGGCGCTAAAAAGCTGTACTGGACGCTCCAGCCCTTGACATTGAATCGGACTTGGTTGAAGACACCCTACACACGCTTGCTGTTTCGCCTGCCACACGTCGTCGCCGCGTCGCCACCTGTTTCAGTATTTAAAGTGGTCCCGGCATAATACCGGTGCGATCCAGTCGATTTCACTGGCATTATGGCGGGCAACCGGCGTTATTCAGAGCATGAAACGACTTGAAAGTTCTATCTGTGCCAGAGGAATTTCTTAACCGGTATTCTTCCGGGAAACCGGCATTATTCGACCGGCGTCATACCGCAACCACTGTCCTGTATAGGTGGGGTTGTCGAACAGGGGACCTACACTTCCGGGAATGCTGACGGCGATGTTCGTGGGTGGTGGCCAGGACGGTGACCATGACCCCGAGGTGCGCGCGTCCTTGCCAGAGTTGTCTCTCACGCCAAGATGCTCGTCGTCGGATCGTGTAAAGGCTACCGATGTTGTTGTTGTTGATGTTGTTGTTGTTGTTGTTGTTGTTGTTGTTGTTGTTGTTGTTGTTGTTGTTGTTGTTGTTGTTGTTGTTGTTGTGGTGGTGGTTATTTGGAGCGTCGGATCAGAGTAGATGCGCGTGGTGTTATATTTTCGCCCATCTTGGACGGGGTGTAAGGTAAACATACCCCTAAACAGCATCACAAACAACGACGAAGCCCCCAACAATTTAACTGACTGATCGGCAGGCGGCGACTGCCAAGGCGAAGGCTTCCGCTGGAGGGGCTCTCGGCGACCTGTGGGTCGACTTCCTGATGGCAGAAACCACGGAAGAAAGCGGCGAGCCGCGATAACGGTGCATGAGTTGTGTTCTGTATTGGTTTCGGCGGGTACCTGTACGAAAAACCTTCGTTTCTTTGCTCAGGCTGCAGAAACAGTCGTCGAGGGGGGGGGGGGGGGGGGGGGG